AAAAAAAAAAAAAAAAAGAGAATTCTTGTCACGATAAGATAAACAGTATCAAAGTGTCATACTTTAACTTACCCTAGGCTCGCTTAAAGAAGACTAAGTGTGCTGTGTCTACATCTTCAAAGAGTACAAAAAACTGTAAAATAAACAAACCTACAAAGCAAAAGTTTGAGTCTTTTTCATGTTTTATTATGACAACACAGAATTTCTTTTTTTTTTTGGCCAGGGCTGTGTTTGAACCCACCACCTCCAGCATATGGGGCCAGCACCCTACCCTGTTGAGCCACAGGCGCTGCCCTGACAACACAAAATTTCAAAGAAACAGTAACTGCCACACATACTTCATGAAATATAACACATGAAGGAAACTTTCCAGAATCATCAACTTTTCAAAATTCCCACAGGTGTTTTCCTGAGTTCTCACTGAGCACTCAGCACAGTACTGTTACTTTCCTTGTCAATCGCATATCCTGTTATCACACTGAAACTGTTGTTTACCTATTAAATGTAGTATTAGGACTGAGGAATAAAATAATCTTGTGATAACAGTAAAATAGTCCATATATTGTTTAAGGTTCACCTTAGCCATATTTCTTAATTTAGAAGAATGTAGATGAAAAATTTATCTGCAATGGAAGACCTAAGAAGGCAGGCATTTGTTGATTTTTCTTCACTGAGGCATCCTCAGAGAAGAGAAATGTCTCTGTACATACACACATAATAATTACAGGTTGAACATCCCTAATCCAAAAATCTGAAATCTGAAATTTTTGAGGCAAAAATGCCTCAAAATCCAAAATTCTTTGAGCACTAATGTGAATGGAAGATTCCATACACAAGTACCCCATGTAAGTTTCATGCCAAGATTAACAATAATGTATAAAAGTACCTTCCAGCTATGCATATAATAAGGTGTATACAAAACACAAATGAACTTCATGTTTAGACTCATCTCATCCCAAGACAGCTCATCGTATACATGTAATTATTCTGAAATCTAAAACACTGGTGGTTCCAAGAATTTTCTATAAGGGAGATTCAACCTATATTTGCTGAATGAGTAATAAAGCAGTAAAGTCAGAATAATAATATAAAGTGATAAACAAGCATTTATTTTTATGTCTACTATTTGCAAGGTGCTAGAAATCAAGGCTGAATTTTTCTCAGTGCCTGACCTCACGCAGCTATTCTCTAATGAGGAGCCACCACAACATACCATGACCACACAGAGTGATAATGCCCTTTTATGATGCTATGCTTGCATTCTGAAAACCTATAGGAAGTGCGTCTATATGAAACTGAGCTGTAAAAGATGTACAGACACAGGTATTTTTGCACTTATTCTATGGTGAGTTAAGAAGTTAATTAGAGTGGGGGGGGGGCGCGGGTCAGAAGCTAGAGGCACACAATTCCAGCAGGGACAAACTAAAGTAGACGGCAAAGGGACCGTCGTAATTGGTTTTAGCAATTAAACTGCAAACCTAAAAAATCAAAAATACTAATTTTTTTTATTTTTTTGAGACAGAGCCTCAAGCTATCACCCTGGGTAGAGTGCTGTGGCTTCACAGCTCACAGCAACCTCCAACTCCTGAACTTAAGCGATTCTCTTGCCTTAGCCTTCTGAGTAGCTGAGACTACAGGCGCCCACCACAGTGCCCAGCTATTTTTTGGTTATAGTTGTCACTGTTTGGCAGGCCCGGACTGGATTCGAAACCACCAGCTCTGGTATATGTGGCTGGTGCCTTAGCTGCTTGAGCTACAGGCACCACCCTTTTTTTTTTTAAGACAGAGTCTCAAGCTGTCGCCCCGGGTAGAGTGCTACGGTGTCACAGCTCATAGCAACCTCCAACTTTTGGGCTTAAGTGATTCTCTTGCCTCAGCCTCCCAAGTAGCTTGGGACTACAGGTGCCCGCCACAACACCCGGCTATTTTTTGGTTGTAGTTGTCACATTGTTGTTTGGCAGGCCTCAGCTGGATTCAAACCAGCCAGCTCCAGTGTCCGCAGCTGGCCCCAAGCTGCTGAGCTACAGGTGCGGAGCCCAAAATACTATTTTTTAAAAGTCAGAGATAAGTACAACAAATTAATAGTAGAAATTGCCATTTATATGTTATCCTCTGGCCAGGTGTGATAACTCATGCCTATAATCCTAGCACTTTGGGCGGCCAAAGCAGGAGGATTACTCAAGGCCAGGAATTCAAGTCTGCAGCAAGCTGTAATGGCACCACCACACTCCAGTCTGGGTGAAAGAGCAAGACCCTGTCTCTCAGGAAAAAAACGTCATTTTCTTAAATTCCCTGTTTGTAACTGTCAGGGAAATTTAGTGCTAAGGGTCCTTAGAGGCTTTAGAAATGTGTGTAATAACTTATGCCTCCTTCTTAGCAATTATTCACACTGCAGTTATAAATAACTTCTGGTTATCCATCAAAATGAACAACCTTGTTTATCTTAGCATATAGTCACACTCTTCATGGACCAGAGCCATAACATACACACAAACATGCACATGACATCTTAAACTGCAAAGTAAATGATAAAACTGCCATAGAGCAAGTAACAATTTATAATTTCCTTTTTTTTTAATTTTTGTTTTTGAGAGAGTCTCACTCAGTCACCCCTGGCAGAGTGCCATGGTGTCATAGCTCACAGCAACCTCAAACTCTTGGGCTCAAGTAATCCTCTTGCCTCAGCCTCCCAAGCAGCTGAGACTATAGGTGCCTGCCACAACACCCCACTATTTTTAGAGACCCAGTCTCGCTCTTGTTCAGACTGGTCTCAAATTCATGAGTTCAAGTGATCCACCTGGCTCAGCCTCCCAGTGTACGCCCAGCCTACAAATATACAATTTCTTTTTTTTTTTTTTTTTGAGACAGAGCCTCAAGCTGTCCCCCTGGGTAGAGTGCCGTGGCATTACAGCTCACAGCAACCTCCAGCTCCTGGGCTCAAGCGAGTCTCCTGCCTCCGCCTCCCAAGTAGCTGGGACCACAGGCGCCCGCCACAACGCCCGGCTATTTTTTGGTTGCAGCCGTCATTGTTGTTTGGCGGGTCCGGGCTGGGGATTCGAACCCGCCACCTTAGGTGTACGTGGCTGGCGCCTTAGCTGGTTGAGCTATAGGCGTCGAGCCAAATA